TTCTCTTGTGGCTTATACGCTTTCGGCGAAGTAGATTTAATTCAATCCAATAAGTTTAAATGAAATGCAAGAAAAATGCGTATAATTTAATATTCCATACAAGGAAGTCATGTGATGTACACATCAGATTTTTGTAATTGCAGAAATGCAGTTCTTGGAAAATTTCTTATTTTTCTAAGAAAACTTAGGGTTAAAAGTCGCACGATAGAACATATATGAAACAGAGGAATAAGCAATGTGGTCTCAGGTTATTAGCCCAAATGACTTTTATTTTTATTTATTTATTTATTTTTTTACAGAACATTTTTGTAATTAAAATGCTTAAGCGTATTTAAACACATGATGCACAGTTACTTGAATGCAGAATTTACTATTTACACCTTTATGTTAGTAACTGTAGTGATAAAGGTAATAATACGTAATTACTTACACATAGCAATTACATCAAACCTATTTCCTCGTACCTGCATCTTGATACGAAACATTTATTTTATTCTACTTAGGTTTTCATATATGGATTTAAAATCCAGTAGAAGAAAACTGTTGCGTGTATTGTGTCTTATCTCAGTTGTCCGAGAGTAATATCAGAGTAAGCCCACGAAATCCATCGCGGCAAGGAGATCAAAATTGCGCCTGGCCTTGACAAGGGCCTTGAGCTCCATATAAATGACAGTACGACTTCGCCCAGTTTCGCCCCCATTTTGATAGAGAGCACCTCAAGGGAAATGGTCCGAGGGTCTCCCACCCTTCTTCCGCTACCACGAACCTCTCGGCTCGCAATGTATTTATAGTGCCCCCACGCCGCAAAGACACTATACATTTACAAGCATCCATGCCTTCAAACCCAGACGCTTCAGTATCGCACTAGGCTTCCCTAGCCCTATTCCGTATGAGCAACAGCAGAACATTTGATTGTTTTTGGTATATCTTGTACAACTAAAGTTATTTGTGAGTATACAAATTTTAGTATAATATTTTCTTTATTTTAATTTGGCGGTAATGGAAGAATATTAATAAAGAATATTAATGTCGAAACAGTTTTGACACAAGATTTGAACACGTTGTCTTCACATGAAGTAAGCTGGCTATGAAATACTTATGAGAACGAATAAAGCCCCTTCTAGAAAAGAATTTGGGACACCGGTTTACTTCAGCGAAAATTATAAGAGCGAGCGAATAAACCAATAGCAATTGCACAAATCATTACCGATTTATTATAAAGTGTCGCTCTCTCTATATAAATAACTTGTAAAGATTATGTTAATTTTATTAACAGTTAAATTTTAAGTTAAAGTTCCTTTCCAATCAAATTCTTAACTTCAACTTACTACTTCCGGCCAGAACGTAGTTTTGAAATCTTGCTGTATATTTAATGAGGAGGAGAGGTATTTAAACCACGAAGTTACTTACAGAGTGAGAGAGAATCAGAGTTTCTGATTTACGCGCGTCTGCCTTTTTGGCCACTCTCTCTCTCTCAAAGCTGTTATTACGCTCGGCCGTATTCAGGGCCTTGCTAAGCTTCGTAGTCAAATAAGTTAAGGGGCCAACTCGATTTGAATCTTGATAGCTTCGGCTATATTTCTTTAGTTAATCTTAGTTTTACTTGTAGTATAATTCTTAGTCTCTTAAGTTTTCAAGACCAAGTGTCGGCTTTGATTGTACACTCCCAGGCGTAGTTTTGTTAAATCTTATTGGAATAATAAAGGGTTAGTTACCCTTCTATCTTGTTGTTTCTTGTCACACGAACTTATGCGATTATTCACTATCTAGTTCTTAAGACTCGTCACTTTCTTCAGTAATTGGGATTTACAGAGTGAAAGTCTTACGAACGTGAACAGAAGTTCTGAAAAGTAATACTCACAGTATTTCTGCAACGCTTATAAATATGTCACAAAGAACATTGCAAAGCGGAAAACATTTGAAACAAACTTTCCCTTCAAGGCTGACATTGGATGATTTCTGTAATAGTACTTAAATGAAAAAGCTATATGATACCTTATCAGCTAGCATAAATGGGCTGTTAGGATAGTTTATTCAGACAGGGCGTGCACTGGAAAGTATCCTTCCAACGAACAAATATTGCAGAAATCCGCAGTTGTATAGGAAATGCCCCTAGTCGAAAAGAGACCCAACATTGCAGAATACATTATGTTTGCTTAGTTGTTTTTATCCTATCGCGGCTTCTATCACAAATGCTGTTCAGTACCTTCAAGCAACATACAGAATTACAAGTCATTCCAATTCACGTGCAGGTAGAAGTGGGCGGAATAACACAAAAGATTACTATTACTATTACTATTATTCGTAAGAGTATAGTCTCACCGCTTTAACTGCTCAATTCCATCCCAGTTTAAGGAAGAACACCCCAAGTGGCAGTCTCTACTCCTATTTCTGTACCACAAAACTCTCGAGAGAAATGGTGGCTCTCCGTGCAGTGGCTCCAAAACATACGTATAATTTTGGTTAAATAAGGGTATTGTATACACACGCTTACGAACATTCATGCCTTCTCCAGGATTTGAATCCTGGCACGGCACGGCAATCAGTGCCATTAACCACTAGCCCAATATTTGGTAGTGGTGCAGCCAGTGGAAGTTCTGAAATTTAAGCGTTCTGTACTTTACATTCATGTAAAAAAGATAGCAGCGTGCAGTGTATAGCCTTACGTTTTGTCTTATAAAGCAAATTTACATGAATTGAAAGTTCACCCTACAGCAAGGGTATCTTCGAAGAGATAATCAGACTGTACATCTGATGAAATTTCATGATGAACACATTGGATATGCAACAGAATAATAATATGTGGTCGCATGAGGTGAAATTTGATTACACTGTGGTGTTAAGACAACGAAATTCTATAATTAGTAACTAAAAAATCCATCATGGCAACAAGACATTCGTTGCCAGGTGCCATAGTTTTTCACTCTTAGTAACTTGAAAATGCACCACGGCAACAAAACTTTCTCTGTCAGGTATCGCATGATTTTTCTTAGTTCTTGATGCGTGATTTACAGTGTACACCTCACAGGACTTGTGAAGTCTACGACAAAAATATAATACGGCAAAGCTTCTTCGAGATATTTTTAACGCCATAAACTAGTCTCCTAGGTGACTTATCGTTATTCCATCGTCGTTTCTATGCCTTTCTAATATGACGGCTTGGTATAAACAAGAGTCCTCTTTTCGGATAATGTAAGACTCAGGATAATCAATTATGTAGGTAATGTGATTATCAACGAAAGATATCTGGCTTAGTCCAACTGGATTTCGTCTTGTGGAGTTTCATGTAAGACATGAAGGTCAGTTTGGTATTCCCTGACTTTTACATATTACGAATCCGTATAACTAAAACATGTAGTAGCGTTACAAATAAAATACTTTACAGCATTCAGTAAAATTTTTAGCTCGAATATAGACGTGTATTATTAACGCTGGTGGACACATCAAGCATATTTTACTAATTTACATTTCGAAACTACAGAATAATACTTTATGTTTTATTCCTCATGATATCCTAGCCCTTTAAGAATTGCTTATTATTAGTTGCATTGTACTGTAATTAATTGCAATAGTTAATAACTTTGGTGATTGACGAGTGTTAGTTTTTGTAGTAAACTTACATCCATTGCATAAGGATGTGTGGGAATTCCTTGACGTGAGACGCGGACGACACACAACGGTACCTGAGGATTACTACTGAATTTCGCGTCAAGGAACATGAGGCATATGTTAGAAAAACGAAAACGCAGAAGTCTTCTGTTGCTCAGCATTGTTGGTCCGAAAATCCCACTTTCAATTTTTCTGCTGCCAAAATTATTCAAAAATCATCTTCCATTGTAGAACTGGATTTTCTAGAGGCATTTCATATTCAAAAAAATCTTTCTGTTCTAGTTAACGATCCTAATTCCAATCCAACTTTGCCTTCGGCCTTTAAAGAAATTATGTTTTAGTTCTGGTTTCCTCAACAGATGGAGCCACTTCCTCATTCTTGTCCAGGCTTTCTTATCTTATCTATATCCTATATCGTTCATTTGCGGTTTTGCAGCTGAGGATGTTGGTTTGGTAAAACCATCGAAACTAGTCCTGTGAAAAATTTCGAAAATATAACCCTGATTTTTGTTGTTTGACTTCTGAATAAGTAAATAGAGAATTTGGTAGGCCTGCAGCAGTTTAGAGCTGTCGCAGAGAAAAAATAACGGATGAAATTGACTCTGAAAGTTTATAGATATGTGCCTGCAATGTAAATGTAGTGCAAATGTACAATATGCAATAGCAAAAATGTTTAAATACGAAAGGGGGAAATTTTACGCATGTTGAAAAACTTCAAACTTTATTTCAAATCACATTCGGGAGTTTGATAAGTAACTCATGATTTTATCAAAACTCCCAAAATAAACGTACGTAATACATAACACTATGTTTTATAGTATATTACGTAGGTTCCATAGCATGATTTATCACCAACTAAGACTCTCCATTAGTGTCAAACGTGATGAAGCATCTGGAATTTTGGGAGAGCGACAGGCCTAATCTCATTAGCTTTACAGATAAATCACTTTATGTTAAACTACTAACATTCGATCCTTGGCGGTTGCTATTCATCTCAATGCAGAGAAAGAATTCCAAAAAGAAAAGAATAAAGCGTTTTATTAAATTGACATAATCCCCATTAAGAACACTATATTGATTATAGACTTCGGTCTTCTTTCGAAGTGATCGCATTAATATAACGATTGGTAATGCTACGAGTTGTTATTTAATTATATTTAAAGAATTGTAGCTCTTTTTTATAGATATTTGACATCAGTGACTTCATTATATATTTCTCTATAATATTGTTCATCAAAATGTTCATTAAGAATAATGCAATAACATTCAGTAAACTTAAACTTAAACTATTCAGTAAACTTAAAGTTCAATAAAACTAGAATAAAAATTAAATGCAGATTTTAGAGGAAATCAGAATGAAAACAAATTATGCGAAAAGTAGTATTACCAACATTTTAATTTTTCCTTTTCATTTGATGGATATTATATGATGATGTTCGTTAAATAAATCAGTATGTTGATACTCATATAAGGGGACTCATACACCTTAAAACCCATAAGATCTTCAAATATGTGACTGTTGCAAGAATTGAGATAACTTAGTTATTTTAAAAGCAATTGCTTCTTAATTTTTACAGCTGACTACATAATATAAGCTGCTTTTTGAAATCGTAATCAGAAAATTTGCGTTGCCACAAATATTTTTATAATTTAATCCGCTTTTCCGACAAAAGTTTCGTCCTGTTTCCACCTTGCGCGCACAGTTTAAAACATTCTGTTGCATAATTTAATTCAATATTTAATATATAGCTTTTATAACATTTGGAAACATTTGGTTAAAGTTTTATTTTACTTGGAGTTGAGTTTGTAAACTGTATTTTATTAAAAAAATCTGTAATGTTTTCGAGCAATTTTTTTTTTAATATTAAAATATTCATCAGATTTATGATTCATTTATAAATTATTGAGACTTTATCGATATCTGTAGAGCGAATTGTATTGATATTTTGAGAGGGCGATTTTCATGACACCTGACTTTCTAATTTTAAAGCTTGGGGTACAATCGTTTTGAGGAGAATATAATATATTTACCCATTATATAATTTTCAAAACACTGGTAGTAATAATTAGGTTTTCATTTACATTATTTCCAGCCTTATAAAGTGCGGAACGTGGGAAAAGATTATTACCAGAAATTTCTGTTAATTTGCGTTACTGTTTTCTCTGAACAGCAATTCCTGCTTTTTATTGCGCTAAGAATAACCGCTCAAAAAACAATTATTTATTTTGTTTCAGAACATTAATTCTTGCACCGAATGCTTCTGAATCAGCCATGTATTAATTGAAAAATAACAAAATTACTTTCGAAGAAAAATAATTACATTATGAAGTGAAAATTAAAATGCATGTAATTGGGGGCCTAAATTTATGTACTTTGATGTATAAACATCTATTCACACTCATGTCCGTAAATTAAGGATAATTCGGAGTCACTCTTAAATCGAACTCTAAAATAAATAGATCACCTGTAAAACCACTACACACATCTTCAAGAATCATATGCAAATTTCAGGAAGTAACCAGATGACACCGATGGTACGTCACAATGACGAGAGTGATATATAAGGAATACAGGCAAAGAAGTAAAATTGTTCGCAGGTGCTTTATAAGCATTTCAGTGCAATAACCGAATAGTTATAACACAAAGGACGCATTTGGATGATTTTTTACGTGGTAGAATTATCGGCCGTCTGGAATGTGGGCGTACCCGACTGGAAGTATCAGACGAACTTGAAATTGCCCAGAGTGTCATCTCCAGGCTTTGGCAACGATTCCAAGATGATGGTAACGTGAGTAGACTTTACAGCACAGGTCGCCCCAGAGTTACAAAGCCGAATGAGGACCGGTATTTCGCAGTTACTGCAAAAAGAAACAGGCGTAGCACAGCCTCAGACCTGTCTCGCCAGCTCTCTTCAGCTACTGGTACGACAATTTCAAGGCAGACCGTGTACAGACGCTTAGGGCAGATTGGTCTATATGCTCGTAGACCTGTCAGATGCGTTCCACTTACTGCAACTCACTGTCGCGCCTGCGGTTAGCCTGGAGCTGAGAGCTGCATTGTGGACACCGCAACAGAGGGCTTGTGTGATGTTTTCCGACGAGTCCAGATTTAGCTTGCAGTCTGATTCTCGCCGGACGTTCATATGGAAAGCTCCAGGTAACCCGTTACCACCAAGAAAACATCGTTGAACGACACCATTACGGTTGTGCAGGAGTGCTCGTTTGGGGTGGAATTATTGTGGGTTCCAGAACTGACCTGCATTAATCATTGCATGTTCAAATTGGAACCATGACAAGTCAAATCTATCGGGACGTCATTCTGGAACAACATGTACGTTTGTTTCGGGGCGTCATGGGCGAACAATTTGTATTAATGGATCACAACGCCCGTCCTCACCGTGCAGACATCGTGAGCGAATGCCTTCAATCGGAGAATATCACCCGTATTTACTAGCCAGCATTCTCACTGGACCTGAATCCAGTAGAGCACGTGTAGGACATGCTTGGCCGACGAGTTGCAGCCCGTCAACCTCCTCCTACATGTCTACCTGAACTTCGGAGAGCATTGCTTTTTGAGTGGTGTAATATCCCCGAAGATAAGATCGATAATTTGATACTCAGCATGCCTATACTTGTACGGACTGTATTGCATCGTCTGGGAGACATACGATGTATTAACTATCATACTAACCATGTAATATTGGTTTTTCGTAAATAGATTTTTTTTTGTAATTTGCTCCAGAGAGAAAAAATCGCTAATTTTTTAATAATATCAAACATATAGCATCTTTTTTTGCTCTTTACCTTTTGTTTAATAAATAAGCTTTACAAATAAATCAAATTTGTTTTGCTTCTAACTCTTCCTTTGCCTGATTTTGCATTATCCTTAATTTATGGACATGAGTGTATTTTACAAGTAAGAAATATTATTTACCAGATAATGAATAACATTACATACTAAAAACATCATAAACAGAAAAATTTAATTCTGTGCCATTGGTAGTTCGATGGAAATCAAAAAGTAACAAAATCGGATGCTTCCACTTTTAGAATGTTCATTCTAGATGAAAGATTTTAAACAGTGTAGATGGTCAGTAATGTACTTTGGGAGAACGTAATTATCTGTTAGAATGGTTTCTGCAGAGGAACAGCTGGATTCATGAATAAAGAAAATCTACATTTAAATTAAACTGAAATTATCGTAATACAGGAAACCATATCTTTATAACTGTTAGGTATAGGAAGTCCTAAATGTCTTCTTATATTACTATAAAGAGCTCTCTAGTATAAATCATACCTTTCAATTTATCGTTGCAGGAAATCTAGGTCGGAATTTCAAGGAAAAGAATGTCCTATTCCCCAAGAAGTGTGCTTTAGCATTATGCAGTAGCTCAAAATCACAATACCAATCATGTATTCAAATACTTTTCGGATATCACTTTCCTCTTTTGAGCTTCGTCATCTATGAAAACTAATTCTATGATAGGATCAGTGCACAGCTTTATAAATTTTATTTGTCTAGAAAATTTTACAAGTATATATATGCAACAATTTCATATTCGCCTTAAGGAATCATTAAACCTTCACTGCGCATATTTGACTTCTTCGAAGAAGAAAGCATTTTAAATTTTAATCATCCCCACTGGCATGAAATATCTTGCCGTTCTGAGTACTAATTTATTTATATAACCTAGATCTGATAAGCATCTATTCATGTGGTTGGAAATGAAAGATCAGATAAATTCATGCACCTTTCTAGCAAATATATACCAGATTATCCACGCGACAAAGTGATGGTAACCACGATTAGTTAATTAGCCAATAGCATCAACCGACATACAGAGTGTCTTGTTAATTGTGATCTGCATATCTGCTGACTATTGAATCTTGTATAACAAAGAACTGCTGGAATTAATTTGTGTTATATACACCATTAGCCGCTACGCGTCTAGCCTTCGTCTGGCTTTTAAATGCACCGGTAAAATGCCTAAACATTAAATTTAAAAACTGCATAGAATTTTATCCCGCAAGAACATATAAAAAAGCTGCAATTAAATAAGCAATAGCCCTTAATACAAATATTAATTATCCTAATAAATAAATTAACCAACTTCTCGTTGCCTTCTCTGGACGAACGTCCACTATCCAAGAGAAACATTAAATTTAAAAACTGCACAGAATTATAGCCTTCATTTTTCCGAGTGGCAACAGAGCTGATGTCAGCAACAATGGCAACAATGGATGCTTTTCATTGTTGCTGATATAATGAGAGAGAATTATCGATTTGATGCGATTTTATCAAAACGCATAAAATGAAAAAATCATTCGAAGTTTGAAAAAATCGCTTCGAGGTGCACTCGGTCTTGTCTAGATGCACCTATATGTGCCAAATTTCGTAGCCTGGGTCTATTAGCTTAGCTGCAACACGAACGAAAGACACACAGACACTTCCTTTTACATATATAGATATAAAGGAGAAATATGAGTAGTAATTTAGTTCCACAAAATTAAAATCATTGCATAAATTTATAAGAAATCACTGAAACAACTCTTAAAATTTTCATTTTGGGACAGTGTTTAGGTTACTCATTAATTAGCTTGCATTTTTTTAACTAGTTTTAGTTGAAGAATAAGTCATAGTTAATAATCTAATTGAAAACACTTCACTAGGTTTATTTAACTTATTAAAACTTTTACCTTATTGAGACTTTATTTCAGTATTTTACTATACGTTCAGTGTTTCCTTATTGAGACTTTATTTCAGTATTTTACTATACGTTCAGTGTTTCCATCCACTTTCATCACAATGTAATTTAAGTATAAGATAAAAGATAAGCTAGTACTTACGGAATAGGGACTAGCAACGTTAAAAAACAGGATCTCTTTCCATCAGCGAATGGGGTAACTCTTGGGACTGTATATCATTAGCTGCTATGCTAAAGAGTATTAGTGAGTGATTATATATATCTTCAGAATTTGGCGCTAAGCAGGAAAAGCTGTACTGGACTCGAGGTTTAATATGCGTAGCTTTGATGTCGTTCTTTTAATTTATAAAAGTTATATAAATTTGAATAGGCGCGATAAAAATTTCCTGGAAATTTTGAATTTTATTTCATAGACTGTATGTAATACCAAATGAATCTTTGATATTTATCTTTGTATCTCATTTAACTTCTGTATACATATTAGTCAGTTTGGTCGACGGTAATTCGTCTGAGGTAGTTAAGATTAGACAATGTAAGAAAATTATGGTAAACTTTATAATATACAGCCTAATTATTCAGCAGATAAAATAGGCCGGGAATGTGTTAGTAATAAAAAGTTATAAACTTTGGTAATGTTTCTAAAATTAAATTTACCTGTGGTCTATTTGTATTGACATTCGTTTTCTAGACACAACAGACGTGAATAGATTCGTGAAATAGGTTAAGCTTAAAATTGAATCGGCTTTCCAAAAATTAATAAATCGTAGACGTCTTTTGTCCAATAATTGTCTTTGAGATATTTTACGACACATATAAAATAGT